ATAGGATCCCCAGAGGAGACAACATCCTCCGAGGCCCCCAAGCCCCAGAAGCGGAAAACTGGCATCCAGCCCCCCCGCGCACCACCGAAGGAGACCAAAGTTGCCGCCGTCATGAATGAGATTCTGAGAGAGGGCGAGAACCCAACCCTGACTCTGGGAAAATCTCTGTTTGTGCAGAATGATCGTCTCAGCCAAGGGCAGAGGACCTTTGCTTCCCTGATTGGTTACAAGCTAGCAAAGAAGCGCACGAAGAACAGGGCGCTGGACTCCCTTGAGGGAAGTCAGTTTCTGATGGACCCCCGGCTCTTTGGCCTGAAGCCGAAACCAAAGCCAGGGAATTCCTTAGACCAAGATGCAGATGGCTCTAAGTCAGCCATGGACGCTCCCTCATCAACCCCTGTTACTGCATCGCAAACTGGTGCGCCAAGCAAGCAGGTGGCGGCACCAAGCCAGAGGCAGCCGTCCCACCCCAAGAACATGGCAATGCCTAGTCCCCCCCCTCTCTTGCCCCCACCTGGGCCCAACACAAGTGCACCAGCGCCCATGCCCAGACCAGCCGCTCCAGGACCAAGCAGGTCCATAGCACCAGTCCTGCATGGACAGAGCGCCCCGGGAAGTGAGCGAGTCATGCCCCCGCTCCACCCTAGTCGGGCGGCAGTCCACCCTGGGGCAGAGGTGAGCATTGCCCCCATGGCCCAGGTTCACAACCAGCCTCCCTCAGTGATCCACCAGAGGAGAATGTACACCCCTCCCCTTCCCCCTCCAGCCCACATGCACAATGCTGCTCTGCTGCCCCATTCTTCACTGCAGCAGAACTCCTCAGCAACAAGGATGTTCAGTTATGAGCAAGCCATGAGGATGAGGGAGAGTGCGAGCCAGGGGGTTCCGGTGGGCTACAACAGGTACTCTCCTGCTGCGCCAGAGAGCAATGGCTGGAGTGCCACCAGGCCAGGAAGTCATGGCTCTCACGCACCACCGCTCATGTTCATGGGAGGAGCAGCATTGATGAATTCTGTGCGAGATGCAAGTATGGTTGTGAGAGCGCAGAGGGCTGCCCCACCCCCCCTGTCCTTCATGGGACCGAGCTCTGAGCCACTTGGGAGACCGTCCTTACAGATGAATCCCACTCAGGCAGCCATCAGGCACATGCACCATGCTTCCTGGCCCATCTCCCTCGACTCCAGCCAGCAGGCTTCAGCTGCGAGGAACTACGGAGTCATTAACCACACTCGGCACATCTTGCCAGAACAACGGCAAGCAGCCATACCACACAACCTCCATGCCCGCGCCCACCCCGAACAGCCCCCACCAGCTCTACCACCAAGACTCCAGGGTCATGGCATCATTGAACCGCCTCAGCCCAACTTATCACACAGTATACAGGGTCTTTTGCTAAATGAGCCAAGACCGCAAGCCTTGTTAGCAAGATTGCATGCCCAGGTCCCGTCAGATCAGCAGCCAGTGAATTTGGTATCGGGTGCTCAAGGCCAGGGAGCGGGAGACCAACACCCTCCTAGTCTGCCCCATACCACAAGAGAGTCTGCATTGCCCAAACTTCATCCTCTGCCCACATCGCATGCCGCTGTATCAAATTCACATATGTGTTCTTCATCAGGTTTGTGGGATTGACGTGTTTTTTATTTGCTATTGCGTGATCAACTTTGTAGTTATGGGTGTAAATCTTATTAACATTTATAAATCACAGCACTCAATGGACAAGGGGTACTGGCTATATGCATTGTCAACTGTTGCTTTATTTTAAAATTGTTTACACATGGATAACTTCAATAGTGCTTACGGCTGAACTGTAAAATGTTTGTACAGGCCCCACAATTCAGTCTCCAGGGAAGGATGGGTCAGCTCTTCACTCACAATCCATATTATTAAGACCACTTGGCCTTACCCCTTCCCTGCTGACTTTTGTGGGGACTGGTTGATATGCCCGATGCATTCCACAGGCCCTAGTTTGATAGTTTGCATACCTGGTTTCACCTGTTTATCTTAATTCTTGAATAATATTATTATTATTATTATACTGTCATTGTTGTTGTTATTATGAATGTTATTATTATTACTATGATCATTACTACTACTACTACTACTAATGATAATGAGGCCACAACTAATTATTATTATTATTATTATTATTACTGTTATTACTGTTACAGTTATTATTAATATTAATATTGTTATTATTATTATTGTTATTATTATTATTATTATTATTATTATTATTATTATTATTATTATTACTGTTATAGTTATTATTAATATTAATATCATTATTATTATTATTATTATTATTATTATTATTATTATTATTATTATTATTGCTATTATTATTACTTATTATTATTATTATTATTATTATTATTATTATTATATATTATATATATAATATACATATACATATATACATACATACATACTACATACATACATACATACTACATACATACATACATACTACATACATACATACATACATACTACATACATA